CATTATTGAGAAATTCATCAAGATCTTGTTTTTGTCATCTTACGCCTTTTAATGAAGATGGGAACATTGACAGGGAAATAGATTTAAACGAAAAAGTTTCGTAAAGAGCTTTGGTCCATGTAGACTGTCCAACAAATCAAACTATTCCCTTAAAAAACGCCTCAAAGCTAGCTTTATCATTTAAACTCCCTTAAATTAACTGCATCCGCTACATCTGCAGGCAAATTTCCAGAGGCCAACCACCCTGTTAGAAAAATAAAGCTACTTTAGGTGAAGGCGACTTATTCCCTGCCAAAATTTATATTTGTGCTTTTTAGTATTACTGTTCTCACCATTAAATATGGAGAAAAAGATGATGCACCACACTATCAATTCCATTAACAATCTTAAACACCTCAATAAGATCCCTTTTAACTTTTCTTTAAAAAAAAACAAGTTCAGAGATTTTAACCTATCCATCCCAAGTATCACTCTAGTAGCCCTCCCCTGAACCCTTTCCAACAATTCAGTGTCCTTTCTGAGGTAAGGAGCCAATGACTAATACAGTACTCCAATTTTTGGCCTAACCAGTGACCTATACAATAACATTATAACCTCTTGAGACCTGTGTTAAATATTTCTGTTTATACTACCTGAAATCCTATATGCCCTGCCACAAGCAATAGCACATTGCTTGGATGGCTTAAGAGACTGATCGACCCGAACACCAAGATCTTTCTTTCATAATACTGTCGAGGCTATTCTCATCAAAATTATACTTACAATTCAAATTGTGATATCCGATATGCATTCCCTTGCATTTATTATAATTAAAAGCCACCTGCCATTTATTCATCCAACTCACTAAATAATTCATATTCATTATGTAAGACAGTAACATCCTCTTCACAGCCAGAAAGACACAATACATTAATTTCACCAGCAAATTTAAATAATCTGTTGACCATTCTCCCATCTATGTCATTGATTTAAATCAAAAAGAGCAAAAGCCCTAAAACTGAGCCCCGAATTACCCCACTTGTGACATTACTACAATTTGACTGAACTCCATTCATAGCAACCCTCTGTTTTCCTCAACGTAGCCAATTTTCTATCAAATGAGCCAACCTATCCTCCAACAGAAATAACTTTTTATTTGACAAAGTGACGCATAAATGGCTTTTTAAAGCCTTTTATGCGTCACTTTGTCAAATGCTTTCTGAAAATCTAGATACGCCAAATCCACACCGTTACTCTTATCTATATAACCAGTAAATTCTTCAAAGAATGTCAAAAGATTAATAAGGCAAAATTTCCCATTTTTTTCCCTAGTAAAAAAATGCTGACTATAAAAAAAATTAAACTTTGTTAAATGACTTTGCAAAGCATCTTTTATCAGATTTTCAAAAAATTGTCTCACCACTGATGTAAGACTAATAGGTCTATAATTACTGTGATAATTTTTATCACCTCTCTTGAAAAGAGAAGTAACATTCGCCAAACTTCCTAGCCTCCAAACTTCCACTGTTCAAGGACTTAGAAAAAAAAATATATAAAGTGGCTCACATATCCAGTCCTTAACCTCTTTTAAAACTCTTGAGTAAATAACATCATGCCCATGTACTTTATTAATCTTTAAACTTTCAATTTTTTCTTAACAAGCTCAGAATCAAGTGATAATTTTGTTCAACCTTGTTTTCATCTAATAACTGTTCCGGTGAAGGAATATTGCTTAAATTCTTCATTAGAAAAACGTCATATAGTTATTTGATTCACCAATTTCTTGTTTGACCAACTCTCTTGTTCACCTATAATCTTCCAAATCTGCTATCGTTGCAGTAAATTTAAACTTATTGTATTTGTGATGCTTTTCTTTAATTTTGCCCAATTCACGATCTTGTTTGATCTTTTCAGAATTTGTTTGTTAGAAATTTGAAACTCAGATCTCATTATTCGTGATTTTCATATGCAGCAAAACATAAAATATAATTCAGCAATGACCACTTTTATCCTATCAACCATTTCTTTATTAGAAGTTAGCAATAAATCTAAAATGAAACCGAGACATTTAAAGACCAATAATAATTCCACGTAGCCTAAATATTTACGATTATACACCAGATGGCACTTTTTACTGCCCGTGTGTTATAAGATTGACAACCCCGAAGCTCTTTCTTTCGAGAAACATGCCTGGTTTTAGTGAGAAGGTGTGGATATTGTTGAGTAATTTATATGATTTTATTATTATATATATCGGTTGTAAGTGAGCATATAGAGTAGAAAAACAATTAATTTCTTGAAATTATTGATTGTAAGACATATTTTTCGTATATATATATATATATATATATATATATATATATATAT